CTTTATTTCTGCGCAGAAAGTGGTGCTTGGCAATCGTTCGCAAAGCAAGCACCCCCACCCCAGTGGGCGTCTGCCTTATATAGCTACGTAACAGGTTAAACCTGCTGATGTGATGACCCCTTCCAGCTCCCCCCCAAGTAACCCCCCTTCCAGCTCCGGAACTTTGTTGATACAGTATTCCTTCTAGCGAGGCCAGCAATCAGCAACTACGCAACAAGCAATCTCCCCCAGCCTAAACAACCTACTGTATGCCCTTGGTTAGATAAAATACTTTTTTCAGAACACAAAGCTGTTCCTGAAGTAGAAAATGCATAGTAAAAGTTCAAGGGATCTCTGCTGGACATGGCTTCCAGCCCTACCTCTGTCCCTAGGGGTTTAGCCAGGTGCCCCTGAAACAAGGGGTGCTTATCACTAGTTTAGTTACTTTACATTTAATCAGTTCAAATTTTATTTTCAGTTGTAAAATAATTAAATGTATATGCTGTTAAGTAAGGCTCTAAGATGACTTACACAATATAAAATATTAGTAAAGAGTTGTGGAAGAGAAATCCAGCAACATTTTAATTGGTCTATATGCAATAATCAAATAGTATGCTTCTATTTTTTATTCTACTTTCACCTTTTTATCATAAAGTAGAAGTTGTTAATTTTCTAGTAATTATTGGAAAGCATAATGGAAAATGTCAATTTCCAACATGTGTACATTAGTTTATTCAAATGTGTGTGTGCATTTATAATATATGTATTTATGTATAATTATTTACATAATACACACACAGAGAGGAATAACTGGGGGCGATAGGAGCAACTGCCTTGAGCACTGACTTGGGCGGTTGGAGGTGAAATCAGCAATGTGACAGGAACCAGAAATCACCACTTCTGCTCTTCCCTGGGTACCCAGGCATGTCAGTGTACTGCTGTACACCTCCTCCTCCCCCGTACGTAGTACAGACATTATATATACGGTACTACACACACACACACACACATTTTATATATATAAAATTAATTAATTTCCAACATTATGCATTTATGTATGTTTATATGTGCATGTGCATATATTAGTATATGTATAATATGTATACATTATACATGCATATAAAGTATATGCATATGTACACATATGTGTATATGTGTGTGTGCATATGTGCATGCATGTGTATATTCTGAAAGCTCATGTAATAACAAAAAAGGTTGTCTAAAGTTCATAGATTCATAGACGTTAGGGTCGGAAGGGACCTCAATAGATCATCGAGTCCGACCCCCTGCATAGGCAGGGAAGAGGGCTGTGTTTGG